GAGAAGAATGACATCACTGATGAAATGGTATTGTTTTCATTCTTATATCTTATTGTATTATAAAATTTTTTTGAATTTTTAGAAGTTTGTTTTTTGATGCCTTTTGGTGTAGTTATAAGGACAATCCATTGGAAGGTCATAATGTAATTATTGCTAGTTTCTGTCCTCAAGTATTTGGACTATATGTAGTTAAGCTTTGTATATGCTTAGCTCTTGTTGGAGGGGTCCAGGTCAGTTTAATATTTATACATGTACCTTAGTTTTTGCTATTTACATGTGCATATACATATTCTATCCTTAATTTAATTATTCTGCTCATTTTGAGTTTTGTATGCATAAAAAATTACTGTCATACTTACTAATACCAATACACATGTGTACCACAAAGCCTTAACTGTTGAGTGCTTATAAACTTGTTACATTTACAATGTACATGTAAGTACTGTCACTGCCTGTATTTTATGAAGCCTTTATTATAATCTAGCATTTATACTGTAGCCATTGTAAATTGTGAAGTAATGTATAAATTCATTTATTGTAGTATGTTGATGAGTCTGGCACTTGTGTTAGAGGTGACTGTCACTTACTACTAGTGGGAGATCCAGGTATAATATACTGGGAATTGTATATGTAGATGTCATTTGATCATTTTTGATGTATAATGTACATCATGATGTCTTCCATGCTACATGTATTTTTGTATAGTAGAAAGTTTGAACTGATTCCGACTTAAATTTTTTTAAGTTATGAACATTTTTAAAAATTGGCCAAATTTTGAAAAGTACCCAAGGCTATAGCCCATGGTTTTTTTTGCAAAATTGGCTCTGAAATGACCCCTAATTTTTATTACATTTGAAATACCTATTAATGTCATTATGCTGTGTGTTTGAGCTGATTTCACTGTAAATTTTTGAGTTACATGTATGTGCATTTTAAAGCCCAATTTTTAAAAATGCCCTTGTTTTTTGCAAAAATTACCTTCAAAATTGCCCCCAATTTTTGTTACATTTTCTATTTCATATTGATGTCGCCATGAAAGATTCCTGATACCATTTCTTCAACTGTTGCCATCTTGTTTCTTGTTTCAGTAGTCAGTCTTCCTTACACTTACTGAACTGTGTTTTGTCTTGTTTCTTTAGGCACTGGAAAATCTCAGTTTCTCAAGTTTGCTTCAAGTCTCAGTCCTCGTTCTGTATTAACTACTGGAGTGGGTACTACTAGTGCTAGACTCACTGTTGCTGCTGTTAAGGTAATAATTAATAATAATTTTTTGTACGTCTTTATTCAACTTTT